TAAAAAAAATAAGTCAATAAAGACAAGTATCATATGATCTCACTGATAAGAGGAATTTGAGAAACAAGACAGAGGATCATAGGGGAAGGGAGGGAAAAATGAAACCAGATGAAACCGGAGAGGGAGACAAACCATAAGAGACTCTTAATCTCAGGAAACAAACTGAGGCTTGCTGGAGTGGAGCGTGGTGGGAGGGATGGGGTGGCTGGGTGATGGACACTGGGGAGGATAGGTACTAACGGTGAGCGCTGTGGATTGTGTAAGACTGATGAATCACAGACCTGTACCCCTGAAACAAATAATACATTATACGTTAATTTAAAAAAAGGAAATTTATCCAAATTATTAATCTATTCAACAATTAAATACTGAAACCGAAATGTATATCAGACACGTTCTAAGTAGAAGGTAGTTGTTCTATGTAAAACTTAGAAAAAGAGACGAAACTTACAAAAAAGACAACTTTAAAGCCATTAGAAGAAAATGCTTTTAAAAACTTTATGATCTTGAGGGGCACCTGGGGGATCAGTTGGTTAAGCATCTGCCTTCAGCTCAGGTCATGATCTTTTAGGGTCCTGGGATCTAGCCCCAAGTCAGGCTCCCTGCTCGTGCTCTTGCCTGCACACGTTCTTTCTCTCTCTAAATAAATAAATAAAATCTTTAAAAAAAAAAAAACTTTATGATCTTGGGATAAGAGAGGATTTCATTAAAAATAAGAAAAGCAAAGGATAAGAAAACATATCTGACTAAATAAAAATGTACAAATTCCATGTGGCAAAAAATAGCAAAAAGACTAGCAATATAGGGGGAAATTACAACATGTAAATCAGTAAGAAAAAGGAAAACAACCCAAAAGAAAAGTGAGCAAGGAAATAATCAACAGAAAAAAAATATATAAATGACCAATAAACATGAAAAGATGCTTTATCTCATGGATAACCAGGAAAACTGCTACTTTAAAAAATGAGAAACCATTTTAGATTTACAAAAACTTTTTTTTTTTTAGCAATGCGCATGTTTTCATTTATTTGTTTTTTAAAGTAGGTTCCACACCCAACGTGGGGCTTGAACTCACCACCGTAAGAGTTCCATGCTCTACCGACTGAGTCAGCCGGGTACCCCAGACAACAATTTTCAAAGGCTAACACTACTGAGTATTGGTGAACACACAGCAAACTGGAAACTCTCAGTCACTGCTAGTGAGGCAGAGGTGGTAACAGCCATTTTAGAGATTCTTTAGTAGTTATCTAGCAAAACACATAAATTCTCTGTGATCCAATAGTTCTACTTCACATACATGTTCACTGTATGTTCACAGCAGCAAAGTTTGTGATAGCAAAAAGCCTAATGATAATTTAAGCAGTAGAGGGAATGGATTAATACAGTATGGTAGAGTCATGTAATAGCATACCATATAGCAGTAAAAAAGTACTACAAACATGTATATATTCATTTATACATACACATGTATGAACTCAGATCTTAAAATATAATGGTGAAATTATACTGTATCATTTATGTAAAATTTCATAACACATAAAATAATATTTTACACATATGTCTATGAACCATATATGTAAGAGTATTAAAAACTGTACTAAAAACTTACACTTTAAATTCATGGTAGCTATTTTCTTTGAGAGGACAAATATAATGTCAACTTTGTATAATTTGCCTTATCAAAAAATAACACATAGATTAACAGCTCTCAGTTCTAAGTGAGAGGTATATATTTGCTATATTAATCTTATACTTTAGTCAATTTTCTAAATTATTAAAAAACCCCAAAACTAATAAAGGTCACCAATAACATTATAATTCAACTCTCAAAAAAAAAAAAACAAAACATTATAATTCAACTCTCTTAACCTTTTTAAATACTGACAAAAACGAATATATGTGAATTCAACCTGCTAATACAACAAGATAAGCAAATGGAAATGAATATAATTCATGTTACATAATTATGCTGATAAACCTTACAAAAAGTAGAATAAAATATATCTCAGAAATGTAAAAAAATTTGATCTTAAACATCTTTCATAAAATCACTAAAGTGAATTGTCTTTAATTTGTATATTTCCAATTTGATAGCTAAACTATCCTACAATTTTCATTTAAACACTAAAAAATAAGTAAAATGTACAAGCCCTAAAATAAAACAACTAACCTGTATGGGTTCTTCTATGTCTCTGAAGCTCATCGCTCCTTGTGAATCTTTTGCCACAAAACATCCAGTTGCATACAAAAGGTCTTTCTCCAGTATGCCAGCGAAGATGTGCTCGTAGGTGAGATGTTTTGCCATAAACTTTTCCACATCCTTCAATATGACAGATATGCTGTTTCTTTTTTCCTGGTTCATTACTGCCTCTAACAAAAACAAAAACCAAACGTTAATTACACTCCCAAACACCAAGCTTGTAATTATGGAAAAAAAATAAAAGGGAATCAAGGTTCTTAAATGATGCATTTCTGAATGGGTTTTTAAAATCATGATGTTACAACTGTAGTTCAAAATCAGAAAATTTTCAATTAAAAGAAGAGTTATGTACTAAACTCAAAACTGCTATGAAAACATGTTTATCCCACAGAGTTCATGTTCTACCATGGACTTCATGTTCCTTCCCTAATAGGCTCTTCTCTTGCGGGGGAAAAAAAAAAATCTCTAAGCTTTTCAAGACACTTGAAAATTCTTCTCTAAATACTCAAATGGTAATCCCCATTTTAAAAAGTAAGGTTCAGAGTTTCACTTCCAGCAAGCCTGAAGAGCTTCATGGGCCTACTCCCCAGTGAAAATTATTAAAAAACAAACAAAACAAACAATGAATCATGAAACACTACATCAAAAACTAACGATGTAATGTATGGTGATTAACATAACATAATAAAGAAAAAAAATTTTTTAAATTTAAAAAATAAAATAAAAAACAAAAATACCATATACAATCTCTGGAAATGGTTCTATGAACATACAGCACATAAATAAATAATACTCAAGAAAATAAGAGTAAGAATAGTGAGGGTCTGTAGTAATTGAACCAAAACCCAACCCTCTCTGAGCCCTCTGTCCCGTCACCTCCTCACATAGAAACACTCTAGACTGGTGCAGCCAAGAGCAGGGTTCCCTTTTCTCACCTCCCAGTTGGAGGGTTATCTCCCCAGGAAGGGGCAAGATGTCAGAACTTCTCATTCTACTCCCAGTTATCTGTTGCTAAGGCTAAGTTCCAGGCAAGTATGGCTGACAGGTAGGGAACTCTGTTCTCCACCAAACCCAACTCCTGAGACCTCGGCTCTGCCTTGGATAGGGCACAATGAGAATAGTGCAGTACAGATAATCCTTGACTCAGCTCATTTTTAGTGTATACAGTAGAACTGCCAAGTCAGCAGAGGCAAGGCAAGAAAACCCGAGGCTACTGCTGCTCGCTTGCCACCACTCAGCTCCTAGAGCAGGGATGCCGCTCAGAGAGAAATGTGCCACTATCCCAACCCCAAGTTCAGGAGCCATGACAAAGAGATCTTGGCCAGGGAGAGAGCACAGCATAAAACAGAACTCCAAATCTCTTCCCAAAGGAATTGAATTCATGTGCAAACAAAGTGTGAAGAAGTTTGAGCCTAAGGGCGCTCACAGCCAAGACTGTTGCAAAACACAAATGGGAGGAGACTAATAGAAATGTTGGAGAAATAGGCAAAACTATAGGCTGACTAGGGTGTCAGAAAGAAGGGAGAAAAGAGGCAGCTGGGAGTGGCCCTCCAGAGTCAGAATAAATCTCAAACACAGACCTGTTGATCTAGTCCTTAAGAAGAATCTGAATAGATCAGTCTGTAGAGTAATATATGTTACAGGGCACTGTGGAAAACAATAGAGCCATCAGCTGACAGTGGAGTTTAAAAGCTGGGTGTGGTCAGGGACAGGACAGTCAAAGATCCCTCCCAAACCATGTCATCCAGGGTCACTAAGCATACCCAATTCTGCATCCATTGAGGAGCAACATGCTTCATGGGGGTGGGGGGGGCGGTAGGGGGCATTCACTAAAATAACCCAGCCAGTCACTAAATAAGCAAGCAAACAGTAACAATAAGCCAGGGGTCGGGAAAGGCAGGGGAGGCAGTACAAAGTTGCTACAATATATTAAACCAACCAGTTTCCAACCAAAAGTATGAGACATGCCAAAAGTCAAAGAGGGGAATATGACCCATACACTAAAAAAAAAGCAAGTGAAACTATGACAGCAAACAGATTTAACAAGACTTCAAAGTAGCCATTAATAAATATGTTTAAAGAACTAAAGGACACCATGATAGAAAAAGCAAAGTATAATGACAGTGTCACATCAAATGGAGAATATCAATGAAGAGTTACAAATTATTTAAAAAAAAAAAAAAAGGGAAATTGTGGAGATGAGAAGTACAAGTGAAATGAAAAATTTACTAGGGGGACTCAAAAGAAGAAGAAATAGCAAAATTCAACATAGATCCATAGAGATTATGCAATCCAAAAACAGATAAGAAAAAGAACAAAGGAAAATGAACAGGGTGCCTCAGAAATGTGGGACACCAAAGTAATGAGTGAGGGGCATGGAGAGGAGAGGAGGGGAGGGGAGAGGGGTAAGAGAGAATGCAGCAGAAAAAATATTCAAAGAAATAGCGACTGCCTTCGCCTCAGGTCATGATCTCAGGGTCCTGGGATCAAGCCCCGCATGGGGCTCCCTGCTCGGCGGGAAGCCTGCTTCTCCCTCTCCCACTCCCCCTGCTTGTGTTCCCGCATGTGGATCTACACATGCAGGAAGCTCAACAAACTCCAAGTAGTATAACTGCAAAAATCCACAAATAGACACTTTATATACTAAAAATCCTGAAACCCAAAGACAAAATCTTGAAAGCAGCAAGGGAAAAATAACTCCTCATTTACAAGGGAACCTCAGTAAAAGAACTGACTTCTCAGCAGAACAATGGAGGTCAAAAGGCAGGGTGAAAACATGTGCAAAGTACTCATGAGAAAAAAAACTGAAACAAGAAGACTCTACCCAGCAAAACTACCTTTAAAAAATGAAGGTGAAATAAAGATACTCAAAGATAAACACAGAATTTGTTTTGAGCAGACCTGCTTTGCAAGAAACTAGACTATAGAAGTTCTTCAGGTTGCATTAACTGAACCCAGAAAGTAATTCAAATGTACACAAAGAAACAAAATAGCACCAGCAAGGGTAATTAAGTAATTATAGAGGACAGTGTAGTGCATATTTCTTGTCTTACCAGATTTAAAAAGTAATTTTATAAAACAATATGTGTAAAATGTATTGTCAAGCCCATAACATTATAAAAATGTATATATTTAATGTATTTGCAGTAACAGCACAAAGCAGGGAGATGGGAGCAAAGCTGTAGTGGGCCAAGAATATGATGCCATAAAGGAACTCAAATATCAGGAACAAATAAAAAGAACTAGTGATAAAATTAACATAGCAAAAGTTATATATATACTTGCTCATCTTCTCAACTTCTTGCCCCCCTGCCCCCAATGTCAGAGTTCTTGGTCAGGCATGAAAACACTTTAAAACAAGTCCTTGGCAACCTCCAGATTATTCTTGGTGATCCTATATCCCTCTGGCCTCTCAACTTCTTTTAAAGATACAACATTATATAAAGTAGTAATTTATAACAATATATTGTTGGATCTGTAACACTTACATAATATATAACAATATACATAATATTACATAATATATAACAACATCACAAAAAGAAGCAAAAGGGAATACACTTATAAAGAAATAACTTTTCTATAATTCACTGGAATTAAGTTACTATTAGCCTTAAGCTGATTATGACAAGACATATAGGGTAAGGTCAAGAGCAACTACTATGGAAATAACTCAATATAGTGAAAAAGTCATTAACAAAAATAAAATGCTACTTTACAAATTAAAGTGTTATATTATATTCACCTAACGCAAAAGAGGGCAGTAAAGGAGGAAGAGAGAAAAAGACATGAGACACAAAAAAACAAAAAGCAAAATGAAAGACATAAATTCAACCATATCAATAACATCAAATGTAAATGGATTATACAATCCAATCAAAAAACACATTTTGTCAGACTGGATTTTAAAAAAAAAAACCAACAGGAGCACCTGAGTGGCTCAGTCAGTTAAGTGCCCATCTGACTCTTGGTTTTGGCTCAGGTCATGATCTCATGGGTCATTGGATCAAGCCCACATGGAGCTCCACACTCAGCAGGGAGTCTGCTTGAAGGTTCTCCCCCTCTGCCCCTCCCCCCACTCTCATCCTCATTCTCTCTCTAATAAATCAATCTTAAAAAAAAAAACAAAAAACAAACTAAGATCCAATTCAAAGACAGAAAGATATAGGGAGATTCAAGTAAATCAATTAGGCAGAAAAGCAACAAGGAGACAGAAGACTGGATAAACTTGACCTAACAGACATCCATAAAACACTCCATCAAACAGTAGCAAAATATACATTCCTTTCAAGTGCACATAAAATGTTCTTTCAAGATAAATCATACACCAGGTCATGAAACAAACCTCAATAAAAGACAGAAATAATGGCACAGTATGTTTTCTGACCACAGTGTCATGAAAGTAGAAATCAATTATAGGAGGAAACTGGAAAATTTACAGATATCTAGAAATGAAATACACTCCTAAATAACCAGTGGGTCGTAAAAGAAATCCAAAGGGAAAGCAGGAAATACTCTGAGAAGAATGAAGATACATCATACCAAAATTCAAGGGATACATGTAAAGGCAATACCTAGAGAGAAATTTTTAGCTGTAAATGCCTACATTAAAAAAGATCTTAAATCAATAACCTTCCATCTTAAGACAATGGAAAAAGCAAATTAAATATAAAATAAAGAATAGAGCAGGAACTAATGAAACTGAGAATACAGAAACAACAGAGAAAAATCAATGAAACCAAAAGCTGATGTGACTTGATTTTTGAAAAGGTCAACAAAATTGAACAAGCCTTTAGGTAGACTGACCAAGAAAAAAAGAGAAGACACACATTACTAGAATCTGAAATGAAAGAAGACTCATTACCAACCTTACAGAAACAAAAAGAATTATAAAAGAATACCAAGAATAATTGTATGCCAATTACTTAAACAACTTAGATGAGATGGATAAATTCCCCAAAAGACACAAAGTACCAAAACTGACTCAAGAACAATCAATCAATCAGAAAAAACCCTTACCAGTAAAGAGATTAAATTAGTAGTCAAAAAAATACCTGTAAGAAAAGCCCAGGACCTAGACAGTTTCATTGGTGAATTCCACAAAACATTTAAAGAATTATTACCAGTTCTTCACAAACTTTTTCAAAAAATAAAACTGGAGGGAACACTTCCCAACTCATTCTATGAGGCCCATATTACCCTTACCAAAAGCAGACAAAGACATTATAAGAAAACTACAGACCAATTATCTCTCATGAACACAGATGCAAAAATCCTTAACAAAATACTAGCAAACCGAATATAGCAATACATAAAGAATTATGTACCAAGACTAAGTTGGATTTATTCCACAAATTCAAGAGTACTTTAACATCTGACAATCAATTAATATAACACACCATACTGACAGAATAAAACACAGAAACTATGTGATCATCTCAACAGATACAGAAAAGCATCTGACAAAATCCTACAACCTTTCATGACAAAAATACAATGAAGTAGGAATGGAAAGGAGCTTTCTTCATCGAGGGCATATATGAAAAGCTCAGAGCTAATATCATACTTAATGGTGAAAGACTGGACCCTTTTCCCCTAAGATCAGGAAGAAAACAAGGATGTCCACTTTTGCCACTTCTATTCAACGTTATACTATAGGTCTGGACAGAATAATTAGGTAAGAAAAAGAAATAAAAATCATCCAGAGTGGAGAGGATGAAGTGAAACTATCCCTATTTGCAGATGACATGATCTTACATATAGAAAAACCCTAATGAATCCACTTAAAAACCATTAGAACTAATAAAAAGAGTTCAGTAGGTTGCAGGATACAAGATCAATAAACAAAAATTAACTGTATTTCTATACACTTGCAATGAACAATAAAGAAAAAGGTTCCATTTACAATAGCCTCAAAAATAATAAAATACTTAGGAATAAATTTAACAAAACAAGTACAAAACTTATAAGCTGAAAACTACAAAATAGTGTCAAAGGAAATCAGAGATCTAAATAAACAGAAAAACACATACCATGTAAAAGGATCAGAAGACAATAGTGTTGAGTTGGCAATATTCCTCAAACTGATCTAAAGATTCCATACCACCCCCATCAGATCCCATCTGCCTTCTTGGTAGAAAGTGACAAGCTGATTCTAAAATTCACATGGAATTATAAGTGTCTCTGTCACTATCAAGAAAGTAAAAAGACAACTCTCTGAATGGGAGAAAATATTAGCAAATCATGTAACTGATAAGGGACTTGTATCTAGAATATATAAGGAGTTATTACAATTTGATTTAAAAAATCTAATTTAAAATGGGCAAAAAAAATCTTTTTTTTTTTTTTAAAGATTCATTTATTCATTTTAGTGAGAAAGAGAGAGCACCCAAGCAGGGGGAGGGGGAGAGGAAGCGAAATCCTCAGGTAGACGCCCCACTGAGTGTGGAGCTCCACACGGGGCTCAATCCCTGGACCCTGAGATGATGACCTGAGCTGAAACAAGAGTTGGATGCTCAACCAACTGAACCATCCAGGCGCCCCCTTTTTTTTTTTTTAAGATAAAATGAGCAAAAGATCTTAATAGACATTTCTCCAAAGAAGATATACAAATGGCCAATAAGCACATGAAAACATACTTGACTAATGAAGTCATCAGGAAAATGCAAATTAAAACCATACTGAGATACCACTTCACATACACACTAGGAAAGCTGTAATCAAAAAGCCAAATTATAACAAGTGTTGGCAACAACTGGAATCCTCATACACTGCTGGTGGGAATGCAAAACAGTACAGCTACTTTGGAAAATAGTCTGGCAGTTCCTCAAATGGTTAGACTTAAGAGTTACTATATGGACCATTAATTCCATTCCTAGGTATACACCCAAGAGAAATGGAAAACCTATGTCCACACCAAAATTTGTATAAAAAAGTTTAAAGCCAACAGGTGGAAAAATTCCAAGTGTCCATCAACTGATAAATGGATTAAGTAAAATACTGTATATCTATACAATGGAATGTTATTTGTTCATTTAAAAGAATGAAGTACCAATACCTAATACATGCTATAATATGGATAAACCTTAAAAATACTATGCTATGTAAAGGAAACCAGTCATGAAAAAAATCACATATTACATGATTCCATTTATACGCATGTCCAGAATGGCAAATGCATAATGAAAGCAATTTGTTTAATGGCTGCCTAGAGCTGGGAGGATTGGGGGCGAGGGAGTGATGGCTAAGAATACAGGGGTTTCTTTTTGAGGTGATGAAAATGTTCTAAAATTGTGATGATAAATGCACAGCTATGCGAACATACTAAAAACCAATGAAATGTAGATTGAGGGAATTGTATGGTATATGAATTTTATATCAATAAAAATAAAATTTTTACATAATAAATGAAACAAGAAAACCATTAAAAAAAAGTATAAGGTACATGGTAGAAGACCACCAAAACTCCATTCCTAGACTAGTTCAATTTAATCCCTGTCAAAACAACACTGTATCTCAACTTTGCGCTACAAAGCTAGTGACATTCTAGTGATCAAAGAACCCAGCCAATGGCTTGGTTTTAACTATTTTATGCCTTCCAGAGAGATAAAGTTGGTAACAGAGCATTTACCTTCCTTCTCCTTCCCTACAATTAGGACAGGAACAGGCAACTCTTCGAAGCCTCTTGCCAGGCTGCACCTCTTGATCAGAAGCTTGCTGGCCTTGCTGCAAATGCACTTGTGTGAGTTGGTCAGGACTAACAGCACCTATCGTTGCGTTAGCAATTCCTCCAACTGCTACAGTTACAGGAGCTATTGTGGCTTGTTGGACCTTTACTCCATCTTGTCCTTGCTGCTGACCTAAAAATTGGGGGGGGAGGGGGAAAGAGTATTATAATGTTTTCTATTTCTAAAGAAAGGATTAAAAAAAATTCCATGTGGACATTTTAAAGCTAACATATTTGTTCTAACAGTTAATCTGTGTAAAATACAATAGCAAAGGGGTTAATGATTTTTACTATGCAAATCCTAAAATATAATATTCTCATTTAAGTAGCTCAGGCTGCCTCTATATCGGGTTGGTGGGACTATACATAAATCATTTAACCTCTGGTGGCTTCAATTTCTCCATCTGTAAAATGAAGATAGTAATACTTGCCACCTACCTACCTCACCAAAGTGCTGTGAGGATTCATGAGATATTATTTGAAAAGCACTCTGAGATCCTCAGATGAAAGATGCTGTATCCACTTCCACAGTAAGCAGCATATCTCATTCACTTCAAGAATATATAGGAATGAAAAGTAACTAAACAAATTATTAAGTTTTATAGATATTTCTCATTCCTCCATACTTTAAAATTAAGCAAACATCTCTTTATTGAGGCATCTTTTTTTTATTATGCAGTGAGTTAAGTAGTTTTTTAAAATGTAAAACCATCCATGATTATTACATACTATCACTATAATCATAAAACAGACATTTACGGTATTACTACTTCATTCACTCATGTTATGTAGCTTAGACTTACTTTACTTCTCAGGTTAGTATATATACCAACTTGGCATCTTCACTTAAAGAAAACTATGATAAATAATACATAATATAACCAAAAAACCCCCATCTACTTTATCTATGGTTTAAATTGATCCTGAAGTGCAAGTGAGTATGCCTTATAATGATCCTTTCTTTGAACATGGTTCTTTCTCTACATTAGGTATGGAATAGCAGAAAACACCAATTTATAAAGTAATGCTCCCACCTCTGAGAGTTGATGTAAGAATTAAACAAGTTAATTTTTACAAACCCCTTACCACAGTGCCTGGTACAGAATTGTTCATTTGTTAGCTATTATTGCTGAGTCTCCACTGAGTTAGGTGGCAACACAAGAATAAAATACGGTAGCAGAAATAAACACGTGAGTACTGGGTGTAAAACAAAAGGGCTTATTTCAAAGCTGCATATGTAGTACTTTAAATATGGAGAGCAACCAAGAAAAGAAAAAAAATTAACGAGTGAGGAAAGAGTACACATTTTCTAAACAAAACTAAACCTCTGATTGTCTCAGCCAAAGACAATCTCATTCTCCTCTGTGTATTCAAAACACTCTGAAACCTTTGGAATAGCACAAATAACTATAATACAAATAAAAAATGTCTTTTGCACTGTTTTAATAAGGATATTTTAGTTTTTCTACTAAAATTTAAATTTCTGATCATCTTTGAATTAACATACTGTGATAGGTAAAGCAATGCAAGTAAAGTCAGATGTGAATTCATGTGCCATTCAATGACCACGCACTTGAGTATCGTCAAGTTTCCTCACCTCTTAATAATGATGACTTCCCTAAAATTCCTGTCTCCTATCTACTTCAGAGAGTTCTTTATGAAGATCAAGGTGATTTCCTAAAGGATAAAGACTCTGTAAACTGTGAAACAATACACCATGTAAAGTGTAACTCTCATACCCCTATGTATCTTCTGAATACTTAATTTTTCCAGCTGTTGTTCATACAATACTAGGTCATTCCTTTCAGGCTGCAAAGGTATTTAAGATGTCCTTCATTATGTCAAAGAAGTGCTAGGAATCCCCGATCACTGGCTGATCATTCTCAGATCCCTTGACCATTTCCTTGATAGACTCCTCAACCCTTCACATTATGAACATTTATTTGTTCAATGCCTAAACAACTTGGCAAGTTACTGCAATGAATAATACCAAGCCAATCATATTTGAATTTATATATTTAAGCCTGACAACTCTCTTGACTTCTTCACCTAGCTGTCCTAGACAGTTCAACATAGCTCAGTATTACTTTTCTTTCATTTCCACTGCTACCAGTCAAGTATAAATCACCAAATTCTTTTTTTATTAAAAAAAAAATTTTTTTT